AAATCCCAGAGTTGTTGGGGGAAACTCCAGTCACTCTGGAGTTGTCTTCTGGCAGTCTTTCATTTAGATAACCATAATATCCACAGATTTTTCCCATAATTTTTATATGAGCATTATGCATGAATCTCCGAGGGATTTAACAACTTTGAAACACTCTTTAGAATTGATTATCATAACAAATTTGGATCCATTTACTACACAGCTGTTGTGTGCAAGGCACATTACATATTTTTTTAAATTATCTCTTTCTAGCCTCACCACAATACTGTCAGGAAGGTGGTTTTATCCTCACTTTACAAATAAGGAAATGAAAGTTCATGGAGTTTTAATTAACTGTTAGTGAGTGACTGAGACCAGATTCATAATCAGAGAAGTCTGACTCCATTGTTCAGGGTTTTTGTACTATATTATAGTATTTGAGGAAATCAGGACTATAACTACAGATTATTTATAGAATAATAAAAATGAAACTGTTTTATAGTAGAGGTATTTGGGCAGGGCTTCATAAGATAATGGAGGAAGGATGTTGCAAATATGTGGTTTGTCTTGGTGAAAACATGAAGAAAGTTTTGAAGAATTAGGCCAAAGATAATAGCATTGACCAGCAGTGCATATGAAGTAAAGGTGATTAGAAGCATCCTAGTGAAGGCCTGAGTTTTAGGACTTGATTCGAGGTATAATGAGATGCAGGTGTGAGGCTTTCCAGATGAGAATGGGGTGATGAGAATGATCCATTTTTCTACACAGATGAAATTCTTTCAAAAAATAAATCTGACTATGCCACTCATGGTCAAAAACAAGAGAATTCTCAGCAGCTGTAGGATAATGTCTAAAGACTTTTAAATGGCATTCAAGGTACCAGCATTTTCTGTTTCCTCTTGCTACTCTCTGTATGCTCCATCCATACTGAAATACTTGCAATTACCAAGATGCACTATTCTGTTTTATGCATCCACATGTGTGCACATGCAGAAGAGCCTCCTTAACCATTTTATCCCCTGAGAAATCCATAATGATAACAGTTGCTAAGTAGAGAGTGTCCATATTTTAAGTCGTGTCCCCGCAAATTGTATCAATGTTCCACAAAACCTAAGAGTATTGGGGTTATAAACCAATGTTACTGAAATGAACAAAAAATTAAATAAAAAAAAAGAGTATTGGGAAAATACTAGAAGTATATCCATTAAACTTGTAAGCAAATCAAAGATGTTAACTTTATTAATCAAGATCCTAGGAGGAATCAGGTGGCACACCCAAATTAAGATTATTTGAGGAGGATTTAATAAAGGAGTGATGTACAAAATTATGGGCAGGATATAAGAAAGCCAGAAGGAATAGTAAACTAACCTCCACGCAACAAAAGTAATAAGGGGGGTAAGAAGCTACTGGAGCCACAAAAGAATTGTCACCTGATAAGGGCTGCTTGAAAGAAATTGTGATTTTTAGTTGCAAAATTCAGCCACCAAAAGGTGAGTTCACTGCTCTGCTGCGGTGGCTTGGGGTTTGCCAGTTCGGATCCCAGGCGCACACTGACGCATCGCTTGTCAAGCCATGCTGTGGCGGTGTCCCATATAAAGTGGAGGAAGATGGGCACAGATGTTAGCCCAGGGCCAGTCTTCCTCAGCAAAAAAAAGAGGAGGATTGGCAGATGCTAGCTCAGGGCCGATCTTCCTCACAAAAAAAAAAAAGGTGACTTCACAAGAAGGAGACTACAGAAATAAATATCTGACCTGCCTCTCCTCTCTCCTTCCAATCTCTTGCTAGGACTTTCCATTGACCAAAGCCAACTAGATACTAAAGTGTAGAAGTGACCACTGAAATTGTCCATACAGATCAGCCTGTGAGGGCAGAGGGCAGAGCGGAGAAGGGTAGAATGTGAATTTGGAGAGCCAAAGGGAGGATAACAAGCCCAACTACTTTTAAACCTATCATATAATATAGTATTAGAAATAGAAGCCAATAAAATTAGCCAAAGCAAACAATAAATGGTATAGAAACTGGAAAAAGAAAGCTAAATGTTTCATTGATTGAAGATAATATGATTGTATATCTGCAAAATTCCAAAGGATTAAGTGAAAAATCTTTCATTTAAAAATTCAGTCAGTTGGCTGGATAAAAAAATTAATGTACAAAAATCACTAGCCTTCCTATTATACAATATAATGGAGGAAATGGTTTCATTTAAAGTAGGGTAAGGTAAAATACCTAGGAATAAACTTTTAAAAATGCGCAATATTCACATGAAGAAAAATGTAAAATATAATTGAAGTACACAAACGGAGACTTGAATAATGGTAAGATATACTCTATTCTTGAATAGGAAGACATATCATAAACATGTCACCAGTTGAGGGATGATGTGAAACTATATTATTTTTGCAAAAAATGTTATCAACTTCTCTTGTGAACCCCACTTTTTACTGCATAGACACCTTCCTTACCTATATCACAGTCCAGGTCTATCCTATATTAGTTACTTGTACTATTAGAAAGTTATTCAGGGGGCTGGCCCGGTGGTGCAGCAGTTAAGTGCACACACTCTGCTTCAGCGGCCCGGGGTTCACAGGTTCGGATCCTGGGTGCACACAGATGCACTGCTTGTCAGGCCATGCTGTGGCGGCGTCCCATATAAAGTAGAGGAAGATGGGCACGGATATTAACCCAGGGCCAATCTTCCTTGGCATTGGATGTTAGCTCAAGGTGATCTTCCTCACAGAAAAAAAAAAAAAAAGAATGTTGTTCAGGTTTTTAAGACCTCCTCCTGCTCACATTAAAGCTTTAATCACTTATTGGATTAAGAGTTCTCCTCTCTTCACAAGCAGGCAAATATGGTAACGTTAGCACTAGAAGGAGGAAGAGGAGAAGGCGTGAGCTTTTCTCATGTGTACGCTTCCTCTTTCTTCTGGTAGTAGTTTCCTGGGTGTTGAGGAGGTAAGAAAGAGAGGGAAAAGATAACTCTTTATTTAAACTTCACTGGTGACGATTAGTGGTCATTATCTATTGGGTTAGTGTTAAGAGCTGTTCTAGTTCATTGTCTTTGAGGAAGTAGAAGCTTGGTAGAGCTGGCTGGTGTGAGACTCACTTCCAAATAGCTCTCTGGGGGCATTGATGGACTCTTTCAAGGCTAAAGACTTGGTCATTTATTCCCGCTGCACTTCACCTGCTACCAGCATGCCACAGTCCTCTGAGGTCCCTGCCTTTTTGCCGCATCTGTGACAATCCCCAAGACCATAGCCCACGATCACATCTTCCCTCTCTTGTCCCCAACACTGGCACTTCAAGTCCATTCAGGAACCAAGTCCCAGACTTCTTAGCAACGGTGAATTTAAAGAGGTGGTCCTGGGACACTCTGTGGCTGGTTGTTGCCCACTTGGCCATGCTCAGGTCATACTGTCTGCTAAGTAGGCAAGCAGCCCAAAAATGAAATGCCCATCTTGCTGGCACTCCCAGAGTTTAGGAGTATCTCTCTTGGAGTTTTCTTCCTTTTGCCTCAGGAAAAGAAAACATTTCCTCTCTTCCCTTCGCATGGAGCAAAGAATAGCCCAAAGTGATCACTTTCTATCTTTCAATCTTTTATTATCAAATGGCTGGGGAGAGAGGACAGGGGTCATGGTGGTGAACTGGCTCTTTTCAGCGGGTCCTGTTGAGAAGTTCCTGCCCAAATCCAGTGATTCTCTGAAGTTAGAAATTGAAAGTCTCTTAGAATCTTTTATTTTCAGCTTTGGTCATTAGCCATTTATTTTACAAAAGTAAGATTCTTGTTGATATTATATATTCCATATGAGAGTGTTAATTGTTAAAATCTCTATGGGGTAAAATTAAATTTCCACCCACCTTTGACAAATAAATTTCACTTCTAGAAATTATACTATAGATAAACTTGTAAATATGAAAAAGAATTATTCATTACAGTTGTTTATAACAGCAAGGGCTTGAAAAAAACAAAATATAGTTAAATAAACTATATTATGTTCATATAATGGAATAAAGACCAAACATAATTTTAAGTGTTTTAATGTTTTAAATATTTGTAAACAGCTCAGTGATTCATTTTCAAGCAAGTACTCATTGAACATTACTTTGTAGTTAATGCTGTGATAGTCCATGCTATATTAAAGAGTGAAGGATAGCTTTATATATACTGAAATGGAATGATCTCTATTATGTATTTTTTAGCTGAAAAGACAGAGGTAAAGGATAGAGCATGTACTTCTATTTGTGGAAAAAAATTATATGTTCTTGGTGATATTTTAAGAAATGTGTATATAAGAAGAGGTTGGTGTTATTACCCCTAGTTTACAAATGAGAAAACCGACACTTGAGAATAAAGCAAATTCTGATCACAGAACCAGTAATGGCATAACTATGATTTGAATTCAAGTCTATATGATCCCAAATCACAGGCAGTTTCTAATACATGTTTAACCCTTGACTAACCTTTACCACGGTAGAATTGACTACTCTTTTTTATGCCATCAATAGACCTTGTAAATGTATCTATTATAGAACTTATCCCACTATATTACAGCAATATGTTTATATGTCAGTCTCTCCCAGCCTACTGTGGGCTACATAACGGCAGGTGCTATATAGAACCATCTTTGTGTCCCTGAAGCTTTGGTATGGTACATTATAGAGACACTCTTAACAAAGAAATGAAAGGCAATGACACATCTTTGTACGTAAACAATGAATAGAGCTTTATTAAGTGTCTAATAAGGCAACTACAAGTTAACAATAATATTAACAGGGTGTCTTATGATATCTAAGGACCTTATGAAATTTTAGCTCGAGGGGTTAAATATGATTATTACCCAAGCCTCAAACCTGCATAGCAAATTAACTTTAGTGAACATTTCTCAATACTTATTCTGTGCTATTAATGAAAATAACCATTCATTTCCGTGAACACACTTTAAAGTCCCTTATACTGAGAATGTAGATGTCCATTACTAAGTAGTCTGAAAGTTCAGGCCAACAAACTTCTGCTTATTTTGCAGGTCGCTCCTCCAAAGATTCAGTGGGTCAGATATCTGTTCATGTGGACATCATCCCCACCCCAGGAACTGGAGAGCATAAAGTCACTGTAAAAGGTATATTTGGGGTCCAGATAGATCAAACAGCCTATCAGACTATAACCTCTGTAATAATAATGATATTGAAAATGTAATTTTTTTCTCAGATCTCTGGTTTTAAAAAATGTGTATTAAATTATTTTAGGGCATGCTCAGAATTTCTTCATGAAACCAGAACTTTTGATTTCAAACTGAAAAAAATCAACGCCACAAATATTTAGCCTGTATTATTTGAAATATCTAAATGGTTTAAATACATTGGTGATTACATTTCAAAACTATATACAATGAACCTTTTCTCTGTGGTCGATGCTATACATTGAACATTAGTGCCATGGTTGGCTTCAAAACTTGTCAATCAAATTTTAGATGTTAAGTCAGTATGTTCTTCCTATTCATATAATCTACCTACTTACTTCATTTTCTATATGATTTCCAACAACTGGTTTGATTTTCTTTTTTAATGAGTGGTTCAAGCTATTGGTTTTATATTGTAAAAATGCAATCTGAACGCAGGGGTCATTTCAAAGGTGAAATTTAATGGTTAATATTTTGCCCAGTAGAACCATATTCTATTTTTATATTATTGCAGACTTAGTCACTTTAATCAAAACCACGGCCGTCTAATGTATTTTAAAATTGCATTACTTTATATATCTTTGTGTTATAAAAGTAACATTTATATAGTCTATAATAGATCATGTACAATGTCAGTAAGCATCCAGATAAGTGGACATGCCTATACATGCCAGTCTCCTTAAATATTTTTGAAAAATATTTTGCCACTATATATCAAATGTCCAAAGTTTTATGAACCTTTTGCATTAGCAATTTTAGTTACAAGACATTTCCTTAAGAATATCATCAAAAAATGAGAAAAGTTGTACATATGAGGGTGTACATTTAAGAATTATTAGCCTAGGATGAAATATCGATCTAGTAGAATATTTGGAGTTGCAAAATATATAATGAATTAGAAAGATACCCATGATGGACTTGAAAAATAAAGCTACTTCTAAGACTGCAATGCATTATCATCCCATTTTATATATAAAGTAACTGAATATTGAAAGCATATACACCAAAATATTGTCATTTCCTCTGAGTGATAAAGTTATAGATTTTTGTTTTAATCTATTTTCTATTTTCTGTATACTTTCTAAATATTTCATGATGAACATATCTTAATTTTTAATATGAAAAACATCATGTTTTTACCTAATTTTCATTAGTAATGAATGTCATTTCAATTATGGCTAACTTTTTGCCACATCACTGCCACACAGCTTAGAGCTGAAAGCCCCATCAAGCGTGCATTCCAGAGAGTAAATTGTTCTTTCTTCAAGCATGTCTTCTTGTCAATGGGATTAGGGTGCTATCAAATGCAACTTATGGCTTTGCACATTATTTTAAAAAATAAAAATTTACTCTGAAGACCAAAGGGAAAGGCTAAGATTCCACCCATTTGTGTGCTAACACTTTATATTCCTTTCCCTTTTCCTTTTTTGTTTTTAGTGATTGCTATTAATGACCTACACTGGCAGACCACTGCAATGTTCCGCCCCTTTGTGGAAGTTTGTATACTGGGACCCAACCTTGGAGACAAGAAGAGAAAACAAGGCACAAAGACAAAAAGCAACACATGGTCACCAAAGTACAATGAAACATTTCAGTTGTAAGTCATGACCCATCTCATTTATTCAACCAGGCAATAGCCATTGTACAGCTAAACTTAGTGAGGAATTCAGGATAGGAATGGCAATGGGCTTTGCTAAGGAAAGCAAAACCTATAGGTTTAAGCATTCCTGTTCATCACTGATCCAAGGCAAATGAAGAAGGCTATGTTTTTAGTTCTCTTCCCCTCACTCAGTATCTATTCAGTGCCTGCCATGTATCATACAATATTATAGGCATTGGGTATATATAATAGGAGATCTCTGCTCCCATGGAAGTTACTTTCTAGAGATGAGGAACATGTGATAAACAAAATCACACATAAATAAACAAAAATTTATCATATAGTACTGCATACTATGCAGAGAATTAAAACAGAGTGATGCAATAGATGGATTGGTTGGCTGCTTAGACTGGGTGCTCAGGAAAGCCTCTCTGAGCACGTGACTTTTAAATTGAAACCTGAGAAAGTAAGAACCAGTCATGCAAGGAAGAAGGTTGAGAGCATTTCAGGCCAAGCAAAATTGCTAGTGCAAGGACTGTAAGGCAGGAGCATGCCTGGCATATTTAAAAGTCTGTATATAGTGGGCAAGGGAGTGAGATAAAATGAGTTTGGAGAGGTGTTCAGGGCATAGATACCACATCACACAGGGCTTTGCAGTCAGGATAAAGGAGAGTTAAGTTACATTCTAAGTTCAATAGGAAACCTTGAAGGATTTTCAAATGAGAGGATGAACAATCTGATTTGTATCTTTAAATTATTAATCTGTTTGCTGTAGAGAGAAACAACTAGAGGGAAGCAAGACCAAACATGTAAAGATAAGTTAGAAGGCTATTGCAGTAGTTCAGGCAAGAGATAATAGTGACTGACCAGATGGTAGTAGGGAAATAGAAGGAAGTAGCAGGGAGATGGAAAGAAGTGGAAAGATTGTGAATACGTATTGGAAGTAGATTCTATAGGCATACCTCGGAGATTGTAGGTTCGGTTTCAAACCACCACCAATAAAGCAAATATCACAATAAAGTGAGTTACATGAAATTTTTTGATTTCCCAGCTCATATAAAAGTTATGTTTACATTATACTGTAGTCTATTAAGTGTACACTAGCATTATGTCTAAAAAACAATGTACATACCTTAATTAAAAATACCTTATTGCTAAAAAATGCTAACGATCATCTGAGACTTCAGTGAGTCATAATCTTTTTGCTGGTGGCGGGTCTTGTAAAAAACACAATATCTGCAAAGTGCAATAAAGCGAAGCACAATAAAACGAGGTATTCCTATATAGAACTTGCAGTGGATTGAAGGTAAAACATGAAAGAAGGAGTATATAAGTTAGGTTCCCGAGAACATTCAATTTAGGATAATTCACGACAGACTTATTAACAAAGGGCCTTACAAAGGTGAAAGAATAGAGGGACTACAAGCACAGGGATGCAACCTGGGGCTAGAAGTAGCCAGGTTATTACCTCTATCCCCTAGTGACACTGGGCAAGCGCCCACGTTCCTCAGCCCCACCAAAAGTGGCAGGCAAGCATTCCCCTAGCACCACTTCCCGTGGCCCCACTAGAGGCAGCAGACAAGCACCTCAACCCCCATGCCACTACCCATGTCCCCGTCAGAGCCAGTGGGCACATGCCACCCATGCAGAGGATGCCTCTTGAGCCCAAGCTCTGGTGGCCAGGGGGGATTTCATTTCTGGGCCACATGGGTCTGAAACAATTGGAGGGACAATTCAAGAGACAACCAAGAACTAGGGCAAGGATAAAGGATAAGGTGCATCTTCTACAGAGGGCTACTCCTTCAAGACTAGGAGAGAGAGCTGTTTCACTGAATACATAGAAACACAGAGTCAAGCAAAATGAGGACACAGAGGAATATGTTCCAAATGAAGAAACAAGATAAACACCTGAAAAAAACCTTAATGAAATGGAGATAAGTAATTTACCTTATAAAGAATTGAAAATAATGGTCATAAAGATGCTTAGTGAACTTGGGAGAAGAATGAATGAACACAGTGAGAACTTCCACAAATAAATAGAAAATATAAGAAAGTACCAAACAGAAGTCACAGAGATGAAGAATAGCTAAACTAAAAAATACACTACAGGGGTTCAACAGCAGACTAGATGAAGCAAAAGAAAGAATCAGTTAGCTGCAAGATAGGGCAGTGGAACTTACCCAAACAAAGCAGCAAAAAGAAAAAAGAATTTTAAAAAGTGAAGACAGCTTAAGGAACCTTTGGGACAACATCAAGTGGAATAACATTCTCTCTTTTTCTTTAACTTTTGACATTTTAATTACAGTGCGTCTTGGTGTGGATCTCTTTAGGTTCATCTTATTTGGATCTCTTGGCTTCCTGCATCTAGATGTCTGTTTCCTTCCTCAGATTAGGGAAGTTTTCAGCCATTATTTTTTCAAATAAGTTTTATGCTCCTTTCTCTCTCTCTTCTCCACCTATGATGTTCCCACAACAACAAAACTGACTAACAACAAACACATTTCTCAGAACATATCCCTGTCATTGCATGACACATGACTGTAAAAGAAGAAAACTAGAAAAATCAAAAATATGTGAAGATTAAACAGCATGCTACTGAACAACCAATGGGTTAACAAAGAAATCAAAGGAGAAATAAAAAAATACCTTGAGACATATGATAATGGAAGTACAACATACCAAAATCTATGGGATGTAGCAGAAGCAGTTCTAAGAGGGAAGTTTATAGTGATACAGTCCTGCCTCAAGAAACAAGAAAAATCCAAATACACAATCTAACTTTGCACCTAAAGGAACTAGAAAAAGAAAAAAGAAAGCCCAAAGTTAGTGGAAGGAAGGAAATAATAAAGATCAGAGCAGAAATAAATGGAATAGAGACTAAAAAAATAATAGAAAAGATCAATGAAACTAAGAGCTGGTTCTTGAAAAGATAAACAAAATTGCCAGACCTTTAGCTAGACTCACAAAGAAAAAAAGAGAGAGGGTTCAAATTAATAAAATCAGAAATGAAGGAGGAGAAATTACAACTGATACCAAAGAAATACAAAGGACCATAAGAGATTTCTACAAACAGTTATATGCCAACAAATTGGAGAACCTAAAAGAAATGGATAAATTCCTAGAAACATACAATCTTCCAAGACTGAATCATGAAAAATAGAAAATCTGAACAGACTGATCACTAGTAAGGAGACTGAATCAGTCCAGGACCACACAAATTCACTGTTGAATTCTACCAAATATTCAAAGAATATTTAATACATATCCTTCTCAAACTCTCCCAACAAATTGAAGAGGAGAGAACACTCTGAAACTCATTTTATGACACCAGCATTACCCTGATACCAAAACCAGGCAAGAACACCACAATAAAAGAAAATTACACGCCAATATCCCTGATGAACATAGATGCAAAAATCCTCAACAAAATAATAGTGAACTGAATTCAACAATACATTAAAAGGATCAAACACCATGATCAAGTGGAATTTATTCCAGGGATGCAAAGATGGTTCAACATCTGCAAATCAATGTGATACACCACATTAACAAAATTAAGGATAAACTTATATGATCATTTCAATAGATGCAGCAAAAGCATTTGACAAAATTCAACATCCATTTATGCTAAAAACTCTCGACAAAGTGGGTTGAGAGTGGAAAGTAACTCAACATAATAAAAGACATGTATGACAAGCCCACAGCTAACATCATACTTAATGGTGAAATGCTGAGAGCTTTCTCCCTAAGATCAGGAAAAAGACAAGGATGCCCACTCTCACCACTTTTACTCAACATAGTATTGGAGATCCTAGCCAGAGCAATTAAGTGGGAAAAAGAAATAAAAGGCAGCCAAATTGGAAAGGAAGAAGTAAAACTGTCACTATTTGTGGACAACATGCTTTTATATATAGAAAACCCTAAAGACTCCACCAAAAAACTATTAGAACTAATAAACAAATTCAGCAAAGTTGCAGGGTACGAAATCAATATACAAAAATCTATTGTGTTGTTATACACTAACAACAAACTATCAGAGAAATTAAGAAAACAATTCCATTTACAATTGCATCAAAAAAATAAAATAAAATACCTAGGAATAAATTTAACCAAGGAGATGACAGGCCTGTTCACTAAAAACTATGACACTGATGAAAGAAATTGAAGAAGACACAAATAAATGGAAAGATAGTCCATGCTCATGGATTGGAAGGATATTGTAAAAATGTCCATATTACTCAAGCAATCTACAGATTCAATGTGATCCCTATTAAAATTTCAATAACATTTTTTACAGACGAGAACAAATAATACAAAAATTTGTATGAAACCACGAAAGATCTCAAATAGCCAAAGCAACCTTGAGAAAGAAGAACAAAGCTGAAGGCATCATGCTCCCCGATTTCAAACTATATTACAAAGCTATGGTAATCAAAACAGTATGATATTGGCATAAAAACAAACACATAAATCAATGGAATAAAATAGATAATCCAGAAATAAACATATGCATATAGGGTCAAATAATTTATGACAAAAGAGGCAAAAATAGATAATGGGAAAAGACAGTCTCTTCAACAAATGATGTTGGGAAATCTGGACAGCCACATGCAAAAGAATGAAACTGGACCACTATCTTACACCATACACAAAAATTAACTCAAAATGGATTAATGATGAACGTAAAACCAGAAACCATAAAACTCCTAGAAGAAAACATAGGCAGTAAGCTCCTCAACATCACTCTGGGTGATGTTTTTTTGGATCTGACTCCAGAGGAAATGGCAACAAAAGCAAAAATAAACAAATGGGACTACATCAAACTAAAAAGCTTCTGCACAGTGAAGGAAACCATCAACAAAATAAAAGGCAACCTACTGAATGGGGTAAGATATTCGCAAGTCATATATATCCAATACGGGGTTAATATCCAAAATATATAAAGAACTCATACAACTCAACAACCAAACAATGAACAGTCTGATTAAAAATTGAGCGGAGGATCTGAATAGACATTTTTTCCAAAGAAGGCATACAGATGCCCAACAGATACATGAAAATATACTCAACATCACTAATCACCAGGGAAATGCAAATCAAAACCACAAAAAAATTTTATCTCTCACCTGTCAGAATGGCTTTTATCAAAAGGACAAGAAATAATAAGTGTTGGTGAGGATGTGGAAAAGGGAACCCTAGTACACTGTCAGTGGGAATGTAAATTGGTGCAGCCACTGTGGAAAACAGTATGGAGGTTCCTCAAAAATTAAAAATAGAACTGCCATATGATCCAACAATTCCCCTTCTGGGTATTTATCTTAAGAAAATGAAAACCTTAATTTGAAAAGACACATGCACCCTCATATTCATTGCAGCATTATTTACAATAACCAAGATATGGAAATAACCTAAATGTCTACCAATGGATGAATGGGTATATATATATATACACACAATGGAATACTACTTAGCCATAATAAAAAAGAATGAAATCTTGCCATTTGCAACAACATGGATGGACCTTGAGGGTATTATGCTAAGTGAAATAAGTCAGACAAAGACAAATACTGTATGATTTCACTTATACTTGGAATCTAAAAAAATCAAAACAAATGAACGAACAAAATAAAACTCATAGATACAGAGAACAGATTGGTGATTGCCAGAGGGAAGGGGGGCTGGGGGAAATGGGTGAAGGGAATCAAGAGGTATAAACTTCTAGATACAAATAAATAAGTCATGGGAATGTAATGTACAGCATGGTGATTATAGTCAATGATAATATATTACAAATTTGAAAGTTGTTAGTAAAGTAAATCTTAAAAGTTCTCAAGACAAGAAAAAAAATTTAGTAACTTTGTATGGTGACAGATGATAAGTAGACTTATTATGATCATTTTGTAATGTATACAAATGTCGCATCATTATGTTGTACACCTGAAACTAATATAATCTTGTATGTCAATTATACTTCAATAAAAAGAAAAGCAGTGGCCTTCCATGAAGGGAAACAGCCTGCTTGAGGCAGCATCACACGCAAGGAGCCAGGGAAATAAAGACTCTGTCCTTACTCTCATCATTACTTCTGATTTCCTGATAGGGCTCCTTTTGGCCAAAACCAGCTGGAAGCCAGAGCACGCTGGAACTCTATTGATGTAGTCTTTACAGGCCAGCATTCTATTGCAAAGCACAAGGAGTAGGATGGAGAGTAGATCCAGTTGGGGCAAATGGAAGTTATCCAGCACTGAATGAAATGAAGGATGACCCCTTATGCTTTTGGCATAAGCAATTGGGTAGATAGTGATTAACTGAGATGGGTGAATAGGGACAGGAGATAAGGAGATCAAAGATTTTGCTTTAAATCTATTAATTTGGAGATGTCTTTGGTACATCCAAAAGGAGATATCAAATATGTAGTTGGATATAACTTGAGAATATCTCCCTGTAGATGTAATTAATTCCATAAATCTAGAGGTGCTGACCTACGGATAGATAGGGAAGAGAGAGGGACACAGAACCAAGCCTTAGAGGCTTACACACACAAACACACAAGCACACACACACACCAAAACAGTCCCTTAGTGATTTGGTTTTTTGTTTGGTTGTTTTGCATTCTTGATTTCCCAGAGACCTTTCGGCACTCTGTGCTCTGAATACTTAACTCTCTTACTACTCATTAAAATGTAACTGTCCTGGGGCAGGCCGGGTGGCGTAGCGGTTAAGTTTGCATGCACTCCACTTCAGCAGACCGGGGTTTGCAGGTTCGGATCTCTGGCACGGACCGAGGCACCGCTTGTGAAGCCATGCTGTGGCAGCATCCCACATAAAGTAGAAGAAGATGGGCATGGATGTTAGCTCAGGGCTAATCTTCCTCACAAAAAAAAAAAAAAAACCTTAACCGTCCTACCATGCATATTAAAAAGGTTCTAATAGATTATGCACATTAATAATCTCTACTAATAAACTAGCTCACAAGATTCCACCTATCTACTCCTCCAAATTACACAAAAACTTTGATCCAATTAAAATGTCTTCAAAAAGGTTCTAGGAATTACTTGAATCATGCGAAATTCAGATATAGCACTGTGAACTACCACAACTCTGGGAAAAGGCGACATTTTAATACATTTAAATTCACAAGATCTGGCTTCAATCGTGTTTTGCTCTTCTATTCTTACCCACCAGGCTTCCATTTTCTTTCATATTATTTCAGATCGTCTCTAAATAAATACACAGTTTAGTTATCAATGTCACCTGAAAACAAAAGTTTGACTCTGCAAAATGTTTGATCAGAAAAAGTAACGTAGAAAAGGAAGAAATTTGGAAGCTTGAACTGCTGAGGAACATACTCAGCAGTTTTATGAATGTGCATTCATTAGAAAGTGAAGAATATCTGAGGATGAATTAAAGTAAGGAGCAGGGGAGAATCATCCTCAGCATATCACCACTCAGCCTCTTCATTATGTTCAGTTCTGTGCTGACAAGTTGTCTTGGGTTGTTATTAGTAGAGGCCATCCTCAGCCCCATACTTGACAGGTCTAACTGTTGCCATAGATAAGAATTGGCATTGAAGCACAGGGCTTTGCTGGAACTGATTTACTCTGGAGATTTGTATCCAATTCAGTATTTTGTGAGTAGTGCTTGACAGTCTGTGCAGCGTGTTCCCCGGAGAAAAGGCTCCTAAATATAACAGCATATTGAAGCATCTGAGGTAAAGAAAAGAGATTGTAATAACTGATGTTGAAATGGCAAAGAAATTCTTGCACGAGTTACCCCTCAACCTGACCAAGCTTCAATGACCCCTAGCAGCCCCATCCTACCCTTATATCAGTGGGGAGACCCTGCCTCCAATGATTAAGTACAACATAATATTTTAATTCCAGTTTCTATTAATATTCTTAACATCAAGGCAGTAAAGCATATTTAGATTGATTTCTTATTTCTATCTAGGGAAAGGAGTTTTTAAGTTAGATTGCAAAATAATGTCTATGTAAAGACTAAGTAAAATTTAAAGGATATTTGCATCAGAGTTAAAATGCAATATACTCTATTTGCCAATATTCTGAGCAACGCATAAAATTTTCAACAGTATTTTAGAACCATACTGATCCCTAGGTGAGTAAAGTTTTTGCTCAAAATTCTTATTTTTAATCCACACAGCATTCTGGCTAATGGAAACCACCCAGGGGCATATGAACTTCATCTCTCAGTTAAGGATTACTGCTTTGCCCGAGAAGATCGAATTATCGGAATGACGGTAATTCAACTACAGAACATAGCGGAAAAGGGAAGCCATGGGGCATGGTATCCCCTTTTGAAAAATGTCTCTATGGATGAAACTGGTTTGACTATCCTTAGAATACTCTCTCAGAGGACCAGCGATGATGTGGCTAAAGAATTTGTAAGACTTAAGTCTGAAACAAGATCTGCTGAAGAGAGTGCTTGAAACAAATACTGCAAGATTTCATCTTTGAGCGTTCGTAAACTATAAGTGTTTGACTACTGCATGCATGTGCAAATACATGGGAATGTTTATTTCACTATGTTTCAGTGTTTGCCAGTACTCAATGTCTACAAGGTATGTGAAAAACCTGCTGAACTTTTATACCAATTCTGGTCTTTGGGAAATAAATATTCCATGAAGTGCCAAAATTATGATGCAAAGTGAAATATCTAGACTATATTTTAAAATGTTTATTTCATTTCATTACCCATTTCTCACCCATTAAACATACTAAAAAACAGTTAGTCTTTTGAGTTTGCCCATTAGTTGTCTTTGTTTGTTAAGTTAATGTTTGTTGCCCATAGATCAGAAAGTATTTGTTACTCAAATTCCATTTTATTTAGACTTACCTCATTGTAGACGTCTTACAAATACCCTTTTCTATCATAACTAGAAACGCAGTCACTTCTAGAAAGTGTTTGTAATTTTATAGTTGCACATATATTGTGATGATTTTTGCATACAAATTAAAATAGAAAAGGTGGGAAATATTTTATGCCCACCAGTTTCCAACCTTTCTGAAATATCACTGTGAAGAAATGCTATTAAAGCAAACTTATACAAAGCAATGCTAAATAGAGTTTGTTAACGATGTTTGATATATTGACAAAACTTTGTTCTTTAAAACTGCCAACATCACATCACATTTGTAAAAAAGGTAAATTGATGCATTTGCCATCTAGCATTATGTCTTGGCTCTACCAAATTTCATTCTTTAGAAAGTCAGAGGATTAATGGTTTAGAAATGTGATCAAAGGTTTGTTTCTTAAAATTACCTGTGATAAGTAACTACCCTGTTAGTGTTTTCTCTCTGACAGTTATGACTATCTCCTTATTTACTCAGCACTATAATCAGTTAAATGCCTTTTTCTTTTTAAAAATATTCAACAATTTGTACTGAATGCAGCATTACTATATATTGCACTGGAGCAAAAAGTCATGTCTTCACATATTTAGTGAAAAATGTGAAATAAAGTCTGAAGAAATTGCTTACAATTTTGTAATTTATGTTATTTATAAGCCCAAGATGCATCAGATGCAATAGGAAAACAACTTAATACAGCTTGGTACATAAAAATATAACTAGGGTAGATTTTGAATATGAAATAGTTTAAGAATATTTGCATTTTCCGTATTTTTATGGTTTGACTTTTTAGAGTCTGTATCTAAATACTTGACTAGAGAACAATACTTTGTAATTGTAACTTATGGTCATAACTGTTAGTGGACAACATACATATGCAGAAACAAGAAACTGTAACAATGATTGTGTTTTGTGAACAAGCTGGTCTGATATGTTAAGAACAGAAATGTATAGTATCATGACTCGCAGAATTATTCCATTACTGAATGTGAAAACACAGACCAGTCAGATCCACTAATTCATGTTCAATTGTTAAGCACTTGCTTTGTTAATGATTTCTCCAAATGCGTAGCACAATGAGATCCTCTGGCATATGCATTAATAAATGGATATATATTAAATACACGCAACACTTTATTGTATCTTCGGCCTTTTTATTTCATTTATGCAACATCGTTTCATTATTTGGGAATAAAAACTCAAGGCTCTTTTTACTGAATAGAACACTGTTCACATTGTTTTGTTCTAATATCTGATTAGAATTTGAAAAAATTTTTCCAGGAGTTATATCCATGGAAACAGCTGCATACTACAAAGTAATGACACTGAAAATAAGGAAGAACTAATGTATCTACCTGTATGTCTCTGAATACCATTACGCCCCATGAAGAAAGTTCAGCATTGAACATATAAGCAAGCAACATTGTTAAATAAAAACTTACGTTACAAAAGGTTTCATTATTTTATTGAAGGATTCATTCTAGATTTATCTTACAATGATTTTACAGAACATTGACTTGAGCTCTTTAGGAGCATATTAATGTCATAAAGCATCATAACTTGAATAAATGTCAGTTTGGGTTTGCACTGATCACTTAAAAAACTTATGAGCTAAGTATTCTTTTCCAGTACTTGTTTAATTGGATCTATTCATTCTGTCTTTTTTGTGTGTGTGTACAGTATATATCAAACACTAATGGTGGCAGTGTGAATTGTCTGTTTATTAATATCATAAAGTACAGGTACTAATTTTGAAATAGTTATAAATTCTGCAGTCTTTGTTGTTTCTTACCAGACACAATTATTCCTGTTGTCTCCAGAACAAAGCCTGTTGTGTTTACATACCCAAAATAGTAATCACTCTACAGGCCACAGCAATCTCTGCTAACTGTAGCTCTATTAAAGTATGTCATGATTTATTTATCTTGGTCTAGATAAAACACACAAGACAAAGCTCTGTTATTCATTTTTAGGTGAACCTCACATTAGAAGTTCTTTAAAAAAACACATGAAAATCAAATTTGGCCAAAATTAAGTATTTAAAACCATAGTGAAGTATTTACTATTTAAAGGAACTGTGATGAATGATTATTTGGGATAAGTAATCAGATGTCCCCATCACAACCTGGTCTAATTCATCTATTTCTAGGATAATTTATATATTGAATTTCTCTTAAATGAGGCACATTTATAAATGACAATTCTAGTTTAATGTTTTTCATTTGGTCTTTTTTAAAAAATGTTTGAAACAAGGTTTATTTTCTCCTAATTTCTCTAAATTGTATAAAGATATGACTACACTAGCCCTTTTAGGGACTAAGATAGTAGCTTTAATCTTTACACTCAAATAATGAAAAATAATCACAGTTATACATGACTCGGGAAATATTCCTGGATGGATGTCTGATTCCCCCGTTACCACTCGGCAGAATTCTTTGACACACAGGGAAGAGACCGTCTTCCCTGGCACTACCTGTGTTTATCCTCACTCTAGTCCTTTGTTTGAAACAGCTGGCCCCTTGCTCCCTGACTCCCAGCCCTCCACAAATTGGTGATCTCGCTGGTTCAGGCTGCTGGTGTATGTTTTTCAAAATCAGAAACTAGGACATGTGACTTGATGGAGAATAAATTCCAACTTGTGAATATCACATTACATATATATTAAAGTACACTTTTCTCACATTATCACAACTTTGAAATCAGGATACATTTTATAATCATTGGCACATTATAGTTTACTTGGTGTTTTTTCCTTTCTTAATATTATATAAAATGGTTCATCTTGCAGTGAATGACTTCTTAGAAAAAGTAAGTATATTTACAAAGATTTACAAATACAGGAAAAGAAAGTAATGGTTAGTTATCTATTTAACAAATCATATATATTTTAATTTGCATATACTAAAATTAACTCTGTTGGTATACATTTCTGTGTTTTGACAAATTCATAGAATCACGTAACAAGCACAAAAGCAAAATATAGGACAATTTCATCATCCTTAAAAATTCCATCACATTACCACTTTGTAGATAAATGCTCTCCCTACCTTCACTCCCTGGTAGCACTGATCTATTGTTAGTCCCTCTACTTTTATGTTTTCCAGACTGTCATATAAATGGAATCATAATAGTATGTATCTTCGGAGCCTAGCTTCTTTCACTTAGCATAATGCATTTGAGAGTCATCATGTTGTGGCATATATCCATTGTTTGCTTTTCATTTCAATTGTTTGGTATCCCATGGCATGGACTTACAAAAGACTGCATGGACTTACAAAAATCTATTAATTCACCAGCTAGAAGACATCCGGGTTGTTTCCTGTTTGGGGAGATTATGAACAAAGCTGTTATAAACATTCATGTACAGGATTTTGTGTGAACATAAGTGTTCTCTTGAGTGAATACCTACTAGTAGGATTTCTGGGTCATATTATATGTTAAATTTTATAAGAAACTGTCAAATTTTTACCAAAATGGTTGTATCATTTTACATTCCCAGAAGCAATGGATGAGCGTTCCAGTTGCTCCAAATCCTTGAAAGCACTTGGTTTTGTCAGTTTTTTCTCTATTTTAGTTGTTCTAATAAGTATGCAGTGACATCTCAATATGGTTTTAATTTGCAGGGCCCTGATAATTAATGATACTGAGTATCTCATTGTGTGTTTATTTGCTGTTCATATATTATCTTCAGCAAAGTGCCTGTAAATCTTTTGCCCATTTATTCAATTGGGTATTTGTTTTATTATTGTTGAGTATGGAGACATCTTTGTGTAGTCTGTGTAGAAGTCTTTTGTCAGGTATGCGATTTGCAAATACTTCATCCCAGTCTGTGGCTACTCTTTTCATTCTCATAACGGTCTCTTTCCGAGAACAGAAGTTTTTAATCTTGATAAAATCCAATTTATCATTTTATCTTTTGGGAATCATGGCTTTGCTATTATATTTAAGAATTCTTTGCCTCACTCAGAGTCACAAGATTTTCTCACATGTTTACTTATAGAAATTTGTTGCTTTAAATTTTACAATTTGGCCTATGATCCATTTTGAGGTTGGATGGTTGTTTTATTACAGGGTGTGAAGTTTGGGTTGAGGTTTATCTGTCAATTTATTTATTTTTAATTAATTAATTAATTTGCATAGAGAAGTCCAATTGTTCCAGCACCACACCACACCATTTGTTGAGAAGAGTATACACTTTCTCCTATGAATTACCTTTGTACCTTTGTCATAAATCCACTGACTAAACATGCGTGGATCTATTTCTAAAATCTCTACTTGTTCACCAATGTGACATTGTCTTAATTACAGTAGTTTTATATTGTCTTGAACTCAGGCAGTATGAGTTTTCCATGTTGTTCTTTTTTCAAAATTGTTTTTTGACTATTTTAGTACTTTTGCCATTCTATAAAAAATTTAAAATCCTACTGGGATTTTGATTGGAATTTTATTGAATCTATAAATAAATTTGGGGACAACTGACATCTTAAGAATATTGAGTCTTCAATCTATGAACACAGTACATGTCCCTGTTGATTTAGGTCTTCATTGATTTCTTTCATCAGTGTTTTATAGTTTTCACCATACAGATCCAACCAAGTATTTCTTCTGTGTGTGCACGTACGATAGTGTAAATGGTACTTTAAGGATAAAATTCAAATTCCAGTTGTTCTTTTCTTGTGTAAAAATTGATTTTTGTATATTAGCATAGTATCCTAAAACCTCACTTATTTGTAGGATCTTTTTTTGGAGGTGATTCCTTGGGATTTTCTACATTGACAATCATGCCAAATAGAGGCATTTTTTTCTTCCTTTCCAATCTGTATGCATATTATTTCTTTTCTTTCCATAATGAACTGGCTAAGGCTTC